TTATCCACACAAAACAATGGAACCGCTTGGGTCCTGAAAAGCTTAAAAAATTAGCTTTTGTCCACTACAACTTGAGGCTCAAGGCAAAACATCTTAAAGGTGATGAAGAAAAAGCGATTTATACTGATCATTTGGACCTCTTAGATGTATATGCTAAAGAAGATGAAGAGAACCCACTCTATGAATGGATAAAGTCTCTTGAGCCTTTGTTAGATGAACCAAGTGGAAGGCCAAATTCTCAGATAGCCAATGAGATGGGAATTAATGTCAATGATTTTATGGCATCTCAAAATCAAGGGCAACAACAAATTGAGGAAGAGGAAGATGAAGATGAAGATGAAGATGAAAATTGGTCTGATGAATTTGAAACTCCAAACAACACAAAAAGTGGAAGTGGTGGGGGTAGTGGTGATGGTGATGATGGTGGTGGTAATGGTGATGATGGGGTAAATATCCAAGAACATAATAAGAATCAAAATCAAAGACATTTGAGCCCAAATATTAGAGGATCAAAGTTAGATCATGGTCAAGCTTCTCATGTTACCACTTCTACAAATGAACTGAGAAGGCAATATCAATGACAAAGGAAGAGAGTAGAAGCTGATTATGAGCAACCATTGTCAAAAAACTTAARCTCAATGGAGATAGACAATTCTTCTAGATCTTATAAGTGGGGCATTGCGGGTTCTACATCATCATATGGCTATGAATATCCACTTCAAGTCAAGATAGCCAAACTCAATCACAAGCATTTAGGATTGGAACCCAAAATTATGATAATAGGCTCTTTGGAAAAGATCCTAACATGACCTCTTATTGTTATGGATATGGATATGAACAATACCCCCAAATAGGAGGTTCTCAAAGAACTGACCAAGCAAACAATCAACACTTTGTAGAAGATTACAAGAGGTGGTATTATCAAAATGTGATGAGCTGGCAAAAACATTGCAAACCACCAGAACAATAGTATTATCGCCCACCTAATGGAGATGATGACCACCAGCCACCTAGAAATTCTTTTTTGATGTGATTTTAATTTGAGTTTTTATTTATGTAATAGATCATGTAGTTTAACTATTAACACTAACTCTTGAAGTTTGTAGGGTGATTTCATTTTTTATAATTTTACTACCAATCTTAGTTTTTTGGCTTTATGTGATGGTTTGAATGTAATGCTATACCTTATTTTTATTTATATAATAAATTAGGCAATTTAGGTGTTAATTGTTTACTTTTGAAGTCTATAGGACAACTTTGTCATTTACTAATTTGTTATTGATCTTAGTTTCTTAGTTTTATATAATGGTTGGGAATAAGATAATAGTCTAGAAATATGTATTAATGCTTCTTTTATCATTTTACAAAATATCATTGCATATTTCCACAATGTCTCTAATTTTTACAATATTTCTCCTCGACATTACCGACATATGTCCTATATTTTGGTAAGTGACATTTCCATCGACATCGACATTTTAAACCTTAATTCCAACATGTGCAAAATGTTCTAAAGTTGATCCATGTAACTGTACTTGTCACCTATTCTCTTCCCTACTCACCATAAAATATGCTTGAGCAAGGGTTACTTCATCTCTAGCTAAAATATTGTCTTGTAATGTCAAACTCAAGGTTGAGTCCTGTAAGAAACTCGAACACCCTGCTTCTTTCCACCAGTTTCCTAAATGTCTCTACATCCTTGGTGCTCTCCCATACAATTGTTTCCATAACATCAATCTCCTGCCACAATGACTTCAACATAAAGTAGTAGACAGCTACACTCTTCTCCCCCTGTCTGAGATTGTTCACATCATTCTTCAACTTATAAGCTCTTGCAACATTCAATTTCTGAGAATATGTTTTTGTGACACTATCCCAAATCTCCTTGGCCAAAGTCATCTAGAGGTAATGTTGACTTATGCAAGGCTGCATAGAGTTTACTAACCACTCAATCACTATGTAGTTTCCTTGCATCCATTTTTCATATATAGGATCAATCCCTGTCGGTTTCTCTTTACTACCCATGAGATACCCCAATTTACCTTTACTACAGGATAAATCCTTATAGATAGTGCCCAGGCCAGATAATTTGTTCCATCTAGTTTGATTGTAGTCACTCCAGACAAAATATAATCTATGGGACCAACCCCGAACATCAGAATCTACTTCGTCCCACTTCCAGATTGCTTCATTGACCAAACAAACATCCAAAAACAAGGTTTTTAGTCTTTATGGACCTAACTGAGGTTAGTCTAGTACCTAAAGGTCCCAAATTTAGGGTTTCACTACACCAGGCTTTGGGGGAGAAGAGAGAAGAAGCAACTACTCCTACCAAAGCTTCCCGAAAAAACTCTCTAGTCAACTAGGGTTTTGGGCAAAAAATTAGTAGCCTCACTTTCTTGGCAATCTACAGCTAGATTCTAACTATCCAAACCCTTTACCGACTAGGCATAAAAGTTCTTTGAACAATCAACAACTTCTCTCCATGAACTCTTCTAATCAAAGGGTGTATGGGAAAAGAAAGAAAAACAAAATATTAAAGACTTCTCTGATACCAAGATGTGATTTAGTCCAATAAAATTCTGCAAAATAATTTCAGATTTAAGCAAAGAAAGAAAAGGAAGAGGAAGAGGAAGACAGCAAGAAAGAAGGGAAGAGGAAGAAGGGAAAAAGACGAAGAGTACGATGGTCTCCTCTTCTACCAAGATGTGATGTAGTCCAATAAAATTCTGCAAAATAATTTCACATTTAAGCAAAGAAAGAAAATGAAAAGGGAAGAAGAAGAAGAAGAAGGAGGAGGGAAAAAGAAGAAGAGTACGATGGTCTCCTCTTCTACCTCTCTTAACTTTTATTAATCTTACTAAAACTAATCAAATTACAAATCTGCCCTTAAGTGGGCAGCCATCTCATCAATCTACTTAAAAAAACATAAAAAAAGGATTAACAGGCCCATAAAGGAAAAGCCTATTAATAAACAAAGCAACTAGGAAGAACAATATTAAGACAATAATGGGCTAGGGCCCATTCAGCCCAGTCTCTCTACAAATCTGATCAAGCTTGCTCATCTCACTAACATTAAGTAGGTTGACACTCCTATGGAATTGATCAAGTATAGGAAAAATGTAGAGTTCCTACCCAATCCTAATTTACATTGACAACTTGTTGGCAGCCTCATCTATCTCATACTAACAAGCCCTAACATTGCCTACTGTCACGGACCTAGACTCTAGCGTCTCGTACGGCACTTGGGCAGCAATCCGCCGCTCCACAAGTCAGCCTTCCCTACTTAGAGCACTCTCCTGGCTCTTGAGACCAAGTAGCTTACCAACTCGTCCCTCATACTAAGACACACTTAGGCAACAAAGGCACAAAGCACACAAGGAAAGAGAGATGGAGAACTCAAAGGAACTCTTTGTATTGCTCAAGAGAGGGATACAACACTTGATTGCTTGGTTACTTGATTGAGTGCAAATGAGGGAGGGGGTCCCCTTTTATAGGCACTTCCACCTCCTTAAAGGATTTCTCTAGAAAATGAATGTTCTAGGCTTGCTTCTAGAGTCCTTCTTCTAGATTTATCTTAGTTCCCTTAGATACACGAATGCTCTAGAATAGTTCTAGAAGTATGTACAAAGTTCAAGGGTGTCCATGAGGCTTCTAGAATGCTTCCGGAATCTCCTTGAGCTCTCTTGAAGTGTCTTGGGGCTTCTGAAAGCTTCTAGAGTATTCTTGAAACCTCTTCCATCATCCCTTCTCTCAGTAGGGTCGAGTCACATAGCATCAGTCTTGTCACCTCGTGACACTACACTATCCAAGCTGAAACCACATTTGTCTCTTCTCTATGTCATCTTCATCTCTACAATTCACTAGATCATTCCTCCTCACCTCCAGGTACAGCTAAGAGAGGGCTATTCTTTCTCTCGTCCACCCTCGATCTTCGTGCCTATTCTAATGCTGATTGGGCTGCTTTTCCTAACACACATTGCTCTACTACGAACTGGTGTGCTTTCCTTGGTACCTCCCTCATCTCATGGAAATGCAAGAAGAATCCAACTATACTCACATCTTCTAATGAAGCTCAACATCATCCCATGAATTCTGTTTGTTGTGACATTGTTTCGTTTCAGGGCTTCTTTTTTTTATTTTGGTAAAGACAGAAGGAGCTACACAAATCGGGGGGTAGCTCAGCCCCAAACATCACACCTTCAAATAGATGCTAGACCATAAGATCAAAAGAGTTGAATTGAAGAAGAGAGTCCTGAGAAGAGAGCTTCATGAGCAACCCAATCCAAATCTTGATTGGCCTCGTATAATACATGATGGTAAGGCACACCGTATTCCATCAGCTCCCTAGACTTCAGGCATTCCTCAATGGTCGTCTTCAGTCTCCACAGCATGTCTGTCTTTCCCTTTAGGCAAGAGATGATGAGCAGAGAGTCACCTTCAATGGACACAGAGTGGTGCATAAAATTTAAGGCAATATTGTGAGCTTCCCATGCAGCCCACGCTTTAACCCGGTTAATGGAAGAGACCCAATGAAATAAGCTTTTACTTCAAGAGCCTCCCCAAAATGATTTCTTACAATGCACAATGTACTCCATCAGTTCTGGGGTTTTCATCATGAACTGGGCATGCTTCTTTGACCATACACTTCTTAATCTAGATAATATGAGTGCCATCCATATTGCCTTTTATTTTCTCTATTTTATTGTAATAATGTAGGTCTGCTACCAGTCCAAGGGCATTTTCATAATTGAACTTATCTTTCACCCTCTTAATGAAAGTTGAGCATTATGGTTGTGGACATTCATTCTGTTACACCCCTTGTATTTCTTCACTCAAGAGTTTTGTGGTCATGGAAACCCTAGAAGTATCGATTTTCATGGGTGATAAGTTCCCCATGGCTTGCATATAATGCTTATGAATCCAAAACAATCCATATTAAGTTAAGCTTCAAAACATAAATAAAGAAACCAAAAAAAGGACTTGCCAAAGTAATTTACCTTCCCACTGGCCATAAAATAAATTCTGTCACCTTTCTTTATACTCCCATCAATCACTCGGAAATATACAATAACACCCCTATAGGGATCATAGTAACTGCATAGAGAGCACAGATACAGTCAAAAAGAACAATCAAAAGGTAAAAGATAAGTACATATTCAGAAGACAAGCAAAACAGGTCAAACTAAATGATACAACAAGGTCTCACAAGCTTCAAAGGAAAGCACATTCTGATAGCATCTCCAACAAATTTATAAAATGGATAACTGTGTTCAAGTGTGTAATAATAGGAACAATAGAAATATTTTGGCACCAACTATTGATCAGAAAAGACCATCTACATGTATATAGGCACCACAGTGCCAGGCTATATTTAAAAACAAAGGTAACATTCAAAGTTGCAATAATTATCACTGGATTAAACCCGTGAACCATGCTATGAAATTTTGGGAGAGTAAATGAGCAAAGGTTACAACATGAAACAAGTATATCAAAAAATCAATTTGATTTTATGCTAGCAAGATCAACCATAGAAGTTATCTTTTTATTGAGACAATTGATAGAAAGGTTTAGGGAAATAATGAAAAATCTCCAATATGGTATTCATTGATCTAGAATTTTCTAGAAAGATAATATGGTGGCCTGGTGGGTTTTAAAAAGAAATGAATACTGAGTAGGTATGTGGACCTAATTAAGAATGTGTATGAGGGTGCAACAACCAACGTTACAACACCTATGGAAGAGATATCAGAGTTTCAAGTAATGATGGACATCACCAAGGCTCAGCATTAAACCCTTATTTATTTGCACTATTCATGGACGAATTGTCTAAAACACATTCAAGAGGAGGTCCAATCATGTATGTTGACGACATAGTATTCTAGATAGGGAATTCGGGATTAAATACAAATTTTGGTTTATGGAGAACTAGCATAGAACATATGCAATGTAATTGGGCGCCATAAGATATCTCAATGTGACCTCTTTTGTTACTTTGCTTCAACAATCCATAACAAGGAAGAGATTGAAGAAGATGATGCCCACAGAATCAAAGTAGGATGGACAAAATGGACAAGTGCATCTGGTTTATGGAGAACTAACATAGAACATATGCAATGTAATTGGGCGCCATAAGATATCTCAATGTGACCTCTTTTGTTACTTTGGTTCAACAATCCATAACAAGGAAGAGATTGAAGAAGATGATGCCCACAGAATCAAAGTAGGATGGACAAAATGGACAATTGCATCTGGAGTCCTATGCAATAGGAGAATACCACTTCAGCAAAAAAAAGAAAATTCTTTAAAAACAGTTATCAGACAAGCAATGTTGTATGGAGAAGAGTGTGTTGGACAGTCAAAAAATGTGTCCAAAAAATGAGTTTAGCAGAAAAGCAAATATTGAGATGGATGAATGGGAAAACTAGGAAGGATTAGGATCAAAAATGAATTGTTCAAAAGAACCTATGAGTGGATCCAATAGATGACAAAATGAGGGAAGGTAGTCTAAGATGGCATGGTCACACACAGAGAAGGCCATCTCTACAGCACTAGTAAGAAAAATAAAAATAAAAAATCACACATGGGTTGAAATAGCGACAAATGATTCGGGAGCCCATTGAAAACACATGGGTTTAACAATGGATATGGCACTAAATAAAAACAGAATGGCAGAACAGGACTTATGTAGCCAACCCCATATGGCTAGGACTAGGGGTGCAACTTGGGTGGGCCCAGCCCGAGCCCAAATCGGCCCAATCCAGAATTTTTCATGGGCTGGGATTGGATTTTCAGTCCTCGGGCTGGGCTCGGGCCCAAGAAGTCAGACTTTTTTATTTTTCGGGCTGGGCTCGGGCCTAGCCCTTAGGTAGCCCGAATCCGGCCCGAGCCCGGCCCAATTATATACATTTATACATATATATGTGTATATAAGTAAATGTTGCATACATATTTACATATATATGCATACACATTTGTATATATAACATTTGTATACATATTTACATACATACATAAATATATGTATATATATTTGCATAAATACATTTATTTATGTATAATTTTAGAGTGGGTTCATTGACCAACCTGAACCCAGCCCAGGCTCAAGCCCAACCCAAGTGCATCAAATTACAGGGCGGGCTAGGCTCAGGTTGGGAAAATCGGGCTTGACCTTAGGCTCGGGCCTTAAGCCCAAATTTTAGGGCCGGGCCTGGGTTGGCCATAAACCCAGCCCAACCCACACGACTTGCACCCCTAGCTAGGACAAGGCTTAGATGATGATGATGATGAATAATGATGCCTCCCTCCCTCCTTCTCTCTCTATCTCTCTCTCCCCTGCCTCTCTCTCATTAAATAGAGCAAGGGCTCCACCCCCTTGTTCTTCTCTCCCCCTCCTCACTCTCTCCCTCTCTCACAAACACACACATTAAATAGAACATGGGCTCTGTCCCTGGTTCTTTTTTTCCTCTTCATTGCTTTCTCCCTAAAAGCATTTAGTAAACTAAATTATAGCTTTCTTTCGCTATTAATAGCATTTTGACATGCATTTCTTCAATTAAACTAATTGTAGTGTTAAAAATATCAAGTTAAAATGTATAATATGCTATTTTTTAGATATAATGATTTGCCCTCCCATCCATCTCAAATTTGATCAAGAGCATCAGAAATATGGTATACAAGACAACTAGCTTCTCGACTTTCGAACTTGTGCAAACCCCTCCTAAAACAAAACAAAAAAAAATACAAGAAATACCTAAAATAGTGGTGAACCCAGTCAGTGATATGATGATTCTTATGTTGAGAGCTAAGATATGCAGTCCTAAAACAAAAATCCCAAGGAATTTACCTAAAACAAGTGAGCCTAGTCGGTGATAGGATGATTCTTATGTTGGTATATGTAGCGCAACCTAGGGAAGCTATCAGAAAGAAATCTGTTTGAAAACCATATTCCCATGATACTCTGGATGATTCACTCCTTCCCTAGCCAGTCTATTAACTAGAGTTAGCCAACCATAGCACCCTGAACAAGGTGTCCATCTTGGATTCATATATCTAGCTTCTCCAATATGATTTCTCAAAATACTAGGGTCTTTCATCCATTTAATAACTACCTGAAAATCTCCTTTGACGAGAGAAGTTAAATTCTTTTGAATATGTATTATGGTTCTACTGAAAGATCTCCAATTCTCCAAATTAATTGTAATATTCAATTGATAAATCATATGGATGGAAAATATCTATCTCCCCATTAGCTGCTTCATGGAATATACCAGGAGATTCAATTCCACCATGCAAACTGTATTAGATTCATTTTCACAAGATGAGAGTGCATTGATGAATTAAGGGGTATATACTCTACAGCAGTCATCCCTTGAGATATACAGGAGCTACAATTTCCCTTAAACGGCCCTATTCATCTTTCCATATTTTTACAGATAACATAACAGAAACTTTTTTGACTAATAAAAGAGAATGGATTTATATACAAAAAATGAGAAGCAACCTAGCTTCTAGCAGCCCCTTGTCACAGTAAACCTAATTGAATTGTTGTCTACTACATTTGCTCCTTATTGACCCCTTTGTCTTGCTAAATAATCAGCCATGCCATTTTCTGTTCTCTGAATCCAGGTAAATCATGCATTCATAACCTTTGACAGCTTCCTTATCTCCATTATATTTTGTCCAAACCACCATGAACCCGGTTTCTAATGCTGCAGTCATCTGATTACAGTCCTTGAATCTCCTTCCACTAACAGATTTGTGATGTTGAGGCTTGAGGGATCTATAAAACCTCATTCCATGTAGTGATGCGAAGAGCTCTACTTTCACAGAGTTGTCATGTCCTATAAGGCCAGAGAAATAGCCATGATAGTACCCACTTGATTTCTTATAACTCTCCCCCACCCCAATTCAAAGGAGGCAGACAGTTGAATCCAACAGAAACTTGCTGGATGAAGATGAAGAATCAGCAATCTGTCTCCAGCCCCGAATTATATCGTCCATGGATAAGTCCATGAACAAGGCAGGAACCTTGAGCCAGTTTGCAACCCAATCATTGTGTTTTCTGTACGCTTCCTCTAGATTTATTTTCCTCCTTGAATATTCTTGAGTTCCTTTCTTCCCAAACAATCCAAAGAATAGCCCCCCTAATGCATCTCCACATCATCTTTCCTTTTTCTTCCTTGGATTGAGAAAACTTTCTTCACATACATTCTCTACATCCCTTGGAGCTGACCATCTGCAACCAAAGAGATCAAAAGCAAAATCCCAAATGCTAGAAGTATAGGGACAGGAGATTAGCAAATGGAGCAATGTTTCACTACTAGCAAATGCAAAGAGAACAAACATAATTACTAAATGGTCATAAACAATCATTAGTACAAGTTTATGCTACTTCATATAACATCAAAAACATGATTATCAATAACGAATGCTGCAAGAAACATGTTACAATAAAGAAGAAATGAAAGATGCATCAAGTAGCAAAAATATCAAAGCATTAAGGAATATGATTCCAGGATTTAGCATGGGACAGATCTCTTAGGATAGATTGAATAGATACCTATCAAATATAAGAGCCCTTAAAGGCTTGTCAGCAGTGTCTTTAGGTGGTGGAATCCTTTTAACAATGGCATTTAGAATTTCTTTTATGCCTATTCCTTCCTACAACAGAAAGAAAAATCAAACATATGCCTGTGTATAATTTTGCTAGTGCCAAGAAGAAGAAGATGAAGAAGGGGAGAGAGAGAGAGAGAGAGAGGTGCTCTAACAAAACAAGTGTAGATCACTTGTTTATGCCACTTCATTTTATAGGAAATTTTTGCCATGTGTTAAATTTAAAACATATACTAACCTTGGCAGAGCAGTAAATTGCATTGCTGCAATCCAATCCAATAACCTAAAGACAAAGATGTTATGTTAGTTTACAATCGATAGTCCAATACAAGAGGCATATCACAGTTAACAGTGTCTGCCTGTGATACATTTCCTTCCCAAGGGCACAAAGATGTTGTCCTATATGGCAAAAGCCAGCATGTGTATGCCACATAATGAACACATACAGGAAAAGATCTAGTAAGTATCCCCATCATTATAACACATGCAAACATACTTGATGTAAGGAAGTATTTGTAACTATAATTCATATGAGGAAGTATTCTTAACTTAATTATTTAAACTGAGAAAAGAAAAAATGCAAGTGTTTTTGATAGGAAATGGGTTTCCCAATTTCTAAGTGTACCATTCAGGGATGGGAATTGGACTGAGTTGGCCCCAAGCCTAGCCCATAAAATCAGGGCCAGTCCAAGGCTAGGGATGTCAATTGTGTTGGACAGTTTTTGTATGCCCTTAGCTTCAATCAATTCTGATGTACTTTTGATATTTAATGTAAATAAAAAAAGTACATGTTTGATTCATGTGTGGTATGCTTCTGTGTAAGACTCTAAAACTGGACACTTAATGAGACTTGTGTTGGTTTTAAATGTTCACAGCCGTTGGATAAGTCTGGGGAGATTTATCCTGCCAAGGCTGCCACTGGTGTGTTGCCAACTGTTGGGGGTGGCTTGTCTCAGCCGCCAGGGTGAGACCCAAGGCACACGCAGTGTAGGATTACTTGAACCCTTGAACCGGACCAGATTTCCAGTATTGCCCTGGACCTTGGAGATTGATAGGCAAAACCGGAAAGTTACACCTGA